CCCTGTGCCTGCCTTTTCACGTTGCCAGGCAACTGGCTCTGGCATCCTGGCTGGATGTGCCCCCGGGTTTGGTGGCTTTGGTGGCGGCCGCCGTCGGCTCAGCCTCACTGGGTCAGTGCAGCAGCAAACCTGGCAGCCCTGGTTTAAACCCGTTTGAAAATGGATCAAGAAGGCCCAGATGACCACGAAATTTTTCATAAGATGTGGCTTTCGTGTCCCTTTCCATTGGCAAAGCTCGGGGTGGCTGGAAGTGGGGCTGTAAATTGGAGGTGTAAATTGGGCTGCGACCCAATTTACAGGGGGAGCAGAGGGAGGGAATTTGCCTGAAGTTGTGCAGGGGATGAAGCTGAAAGTGAGAAGGGGCTCTGGAATCCACTGTTTGAGCCCAAAGGTGTCACTGCCACGAAAAACACGGTTAATCTGTGTCCAGCAAGTGCAGGAAAACTCCAGGGAATCCAGAGTGCGAAATGAGCTCTGCTGGGGAGAAGATGGGAGTCCCCCTCACTGATCTCCTCAGGTGACACTCCCTGCAGCTGGGGCACCCCTTGGAAAGCCATAAATACATATATATATACATATATATAAATATAAATATATATATATATAAAAGAGACTGACATGCCCAAGAATAAAGGGGAGGATTTTTTGACTCGAAATCCACAGAAAAGTCCAGAAAGCAGGACATGATGGAGGCTTCAAAGCTTGGCACAAAACTGCTGGAAGTCACACGAGAAGGGCTGCAGAATATATGTATATATTATATTTATATATATATATAAAATACTGTCCCAATTAGGCACAAAATCTGACGACTAGAACAAGAGGAAATGAGAAAGGGCTTTGCAGGGTGCTGCATGGCAGGAAAAGGGAATAAGGAAGGGGAAAAAAAACAAGGCATGAAATAGGTATTAAATTTTCATATTTCGGGAGCAGCACCTTCTTGCAGGGCACAGTCAGATCTGCAGGTGATCACTGGAGATAAATGCAGAAGGACTCAGTTCTGGTGCAGGAATAACCCTGATCACTGAGGTCACAGCAAGGGGCTGGAAATGATTGCCCAGGGAGGAGATTGGGAGGGTTTTTTTGAGCTTCCAACACCGGTGACCAAGTGGCACTTTGGGAGATGCTGCTGAGGCCCAGCAGCACAAGGCAGAAAACATCATTTTGTCACAAAAGGGGCTCCAGGAGGGAACTGTTGAGTTTTTTGGGGGGCACCAGAAGGATGAGGGGACTGATGGAAGGTGAGATAAATCCATAGAGTTTCCTCAGCTCAGGGAATCCCTTCATTGTTCATTGCTGGGTGGGAGCTCCTTTCTTCAGGCTCTTCCAGAGCACGTCCCAGCAGTGTCCTGACCCCACAGGCCTTTCAGGAGTGTGACAATTCCCCTTCTCCCCTCCCAGGCCAAGCACACGGAGCAGCACGAGGGTCGGCACTACAGCATCCCCCTGGAGGAGGTGAAGGCCGTGTTCCCACATGGGCTCCCCTACCGCTTCCAGCAGCAGGTACTCAGCTTTGGAGGGAGGGTCCTGTGGCTGCCCCATCCCTGCAAGGGTCCAAGGCCAGGCTGGACAGGGCTTGGAGCACCCTGGGCTCATGGGAGGGGTCCCTTCCCACGGCAGGAACGAGATGATCTTTGAGGTGCCTTCCAAACCGTTCTTTGTGGGAAGAACCAGATCCTTTGGCAACTGCAGTACCCCCCTGTTGGAATAAGAGGGGTGACCTCCTGCTAGAGGTGCAGTTATCCCTGGTCCTGACTGTTATTTCCAACACCTGAAAGAGATGAGTGGGCCCCTCCGGGAAAGAGGCTGTGGAGTTTGAGGGTTCCACCAACGTTCATTCCAGTGTTTTTCATCCCTGACTCCCCAGCACGTGATGAATTACAGCAGTGTTTGTGGTTATATTTCTGTGTCAAACAGAGCTGTCTGATAGAATTAAGAGTGCAGGGGCAACACAAAAAAACCCCCCTGGTGTCTGGATTTCTGTGGTGAGACAGATGGGGCCACGCCGGGCTCTGGGAGCTGGGAGCAGATTCCTTACCTGTGGGCATCCATTGGCTCTGGATTTGGGAGCAGATTCCTTACCTGTGGGCATCCCCTGGCTCTGGATTTGGGAGCAGATTCCTTACCTGTGGGCATCCATTGGCTCTGGATTTGGGAGCAGATTCCTTACCTGGGGGCATCCACTGGCTCTGGGAGCTGGGAGCAGATTCCTTACCTGGGGGCATCCACTGGCTCTGGGAGCTGGGAGCAGATTCCTTACCTGGGGGCATCCCCTGGCTCTGGATTTGGGAGCAGATTCCTTACCTGGGGGCATCCATTGGCTCTGGATTTGGGAGCAGATTCCTTTCCTGGGGGCATCCATTGGCTCTGGGAGCTGGGAGCAGATTCCTTACCTGTGGGCATCCATTGGCTCTGGATTTGGGAGCAGATTCCTTACCTGTGGGCATCCACTGGCTCTGGATTTGGGAACAGATTCCTTACCTGTGGGCATCCATTGGCTCTGGGAGCTGGGAGCAGATTCCTTACCTGTGGGCATCCATTGGCTCTGGATTTGGGAGCAGATTCCTTACCTGGGGGCATCCATTTGCTCTGGATTTGGGAGCAGATTCCTTACCTGGGGGCATCCACTGGCTCTGGATTTGGGAGCAGATTCCTTTCCTGTGGGCATCCACTGGCTCTGGATTCTCGGGCAGGCTGGTTGGCTGCCCCTTTAACCTGTCAGGTGATGGAGCAGCTAATCCTGGAAAGGCTTCCCAGGCACAGAAAGGACGGGAAGGTCCTCGGGAACCAGCCTGACACCCCCTGGTGCTGCCGGGCAGGGAGGGCAGAGTGGGGGTGTCCAGACCCTCCAGGCAGCCGTGGGGCAGAGCTGGGAGCAGCTGTGCTGAGCCAGCAGCATCAATCTGGTCCCACTCTGCCCCTCTGCTCAGATCCAGACCTTCAACGAGGCCCGTGTGATGGTGCGGAGACCGGCGCTCGAGCTCTTCTCCTACCTGAGGAGCACCAACTTCGCCCACCCCGCCGTCAGATACGTCATCTGTATCTTTGCTCACCCCCTGGGGGTGCGGTGCAGGTGAAATCTGAACAGTCTGGGCAGTGGGGGGGATGTTCTGGGGCGGTTCTGCCGGCCTGGGCCGTGCCCAGCGCGGCGACTCCGAGCGCCTCGGGGAGTTTGGAGAGTTTGGAGCTTGGAGAGCTTCCTTGTAGCCCGGTTTGGCTCGTGGCACGGAGCCACAGAGGGCTGTCAGCACTCCTGAGGGGAGGGGGCTGCTCAGCTCTGCTCAGCAGGGTGGGATACAGGGAGGAGGAGCTCCATCCTGTGTCTGGATGGAATGCCACCCCTGCTTTGGCAACCCCTGAACTCCCCGTATTGCCTTTTCCGGGGCAAAAAAAAAATGACAGCAAGGTGTGAGCTGAAGTGGTTTTTCAGAGGTTTTCCTTGACAGTCCCTGCTGGAGACGGTGAGAGGGGAACAGGGAAAACCATGACCCTGTGCCACGTGGTTCACTACTGCTCCAGGCAAGGCTGGCTGGTGCTGCACATCCCCGATGGTAAGGACACCACTGTCCCCTCACAGGGGAAGCTCTGGGGTGGGGCCTCAGCAAATTACCCTCATTTTCCCCTGGGAAAAGGCTTAGAAAGCACAACAACCCCCCCCAAATAACATAATAATTGCAGTTCTTTTCACCTGCTCACATGAGGTTTGAGTCAGTCCCCAGCAGGATAAGGACAAGCAATAAACCCTCCCCTCTCCCCCACCTCACCCTGTTGTTCTGACTGCAAAAAAATACCCCAAAAAAAAATAAAAAAACCCACAAACCAGCTGTTTCCTTTTCCTCCCAGCTCATCTGTGGGTGAAGAACTGCAGGGAGCTCCTGCCCTCTTCCTACAAGAAGGAGCGGCTGGATCAGCCTCTGCAGGCCTCAGCCTGGCTCAAGAACTTCAAAACCTCCAACGAGCGCTTCCTGGGAGAGGTTGGTGGAGCCTGGCAGGTTGTTTTGCTGCCCCCACTGCCCCCCGTGCTGGAACTGGGGTGGAAGAGCTGGGAATGGCTGGTGGGGGTGGATGCTCCTCCTGGATTCCTGGGATCCCCAGGGCAGTCTCACCCAACGCCCATGGGATGGACAAGGGATCAGACCCAGCCAGGAGGGGTTTAGGAAGGGCAGGTCCTGCCTGAGCACCCCAAAATCCTTTTAGGAGCAGGGGGTGCTGGTGGGTGAGGGGAAGGTGTGGGTGTGTCAGGGATTCTGCCCCGGTGAGGCCACCCCTGGAGTGCCGTGTCCAGCTCCCCTCAGCTCAGGAAGGACATGGAGGGGCTGGGGAAGGTCCAGAGAGGAGCAGCGAGGCTGGGGAAGGGTCTGGAGCACAATTCCCGTGGGGAGAGGCTGAGAGAGCTGGGGGGGATCAGCCTGGACAGGAGGAGGCTCAGGGGACTCTCCACAACCCCCTGACAGGAGGGGGGAGCTGGGGGTGGGTTGAGCTCTGCTCCCAGGAACCAGCAGCAGGACAAGAGGGTCTCCAGCTGTGCCAGGGGAGGTTTGGGTTGGATATCAGGAAGGAATTGTTTCCAGAGTGATCAGACATTGGAATGGGCTGCTCAGGGAGGGGGGTGGAGTCGTCCCTGAGGATTTTAAGGACAGTCTGGATGTGGCACTCGGTGCCACGGGCTGGGAACCACGGCGGGGTTGGAGCGAGGGCTGGGCTGGATGATCTCGGAGGGTTTTCCCAACCTGGCTGATCCTGGGATTCCATGAAAGAACCAGGAATCAGTTCCCCCCCCAGCCTCACTGCAGTTCCCTTCCCACAGATAAAAACCCAAAGGAAATACGTGTGGGGCAAACGGGAGAGCACCGAGGAGGGCAGACCTCTGGGGGAAGTGGTGGAGCAGGTGAGGAATCACCCACAGGAATCATCCTGGGGGTCCCCAGCTGGTGCCAGGAGATCCCCCTGTCTGTGTGGGAGCAGATTGCTCCGGAAAACGTGAGGGGTGGGAGTCCTGGGGATGGGGAGGTGTTCCCTATGGACCAAAAACATGGGGGGATGTGATGGATCTGTGTGTGTTCCCTGTGTGTCCTCTGTGTCCTCTGTGTCCCTGTGTCCCCTCTGTGTCCCCCCTGTCCCCTGTGTGTCCTCTGTGTCCCCTCCGTGTCCCCTCTGTGTCACCCATGTCCCCTGTGTGTCCCTTATGCCCCCTGTGTCCCCTGTGTGTCCCAGTCCCCTCTGTGTCCCCCTCTGTCCCCTGTGTGTCTTGTGTGTCACCTGTGTCCCCTGTGTGTCCCTTATGTCCCCTGTGTGTCCCCCCCGTGTCCCCTGTGTCACTCATGGCCCCTGTGTCTCCTGTCTCCTGTGTCCCCACTGTGTCTCCCTGTGTGTCCCCTGTGTGTCCCATGTCCCCCATGTGTCCCCTGTGTCTCCTGTGTGTCCCTCATGTCCCCTGTGCTCCCTGTGTCCCCTCTGTGTCCCCCCATATCCCCTGTGTGTCCCCCTGTGTCCCCCCATGTCCCTGTGTGTCCCCTCTATGGCCCCCCCTGTGTCCCTTGCATGTGCCCCTGCCCCTCCTGTGTGTCCCGCCCATGTCCCCCTGTCCCCTGCGTGTCCCCCTGCCCCTCCTGTGTGTCCCCCATGTCCCCTGTATGTCCCCCCCATCTGCCTCCTCTCTGTGTCCCCCCCATGTCCCCTTGTCCTGTTTGTCCCCCCCATCCCATCTGCTGCCTCCTTTCCCCCCGTGAGGCTCAGCCCAGCCCTCCCTCCGGATCTGTCCCGGGTCAGGCCCGCTCACCGAGCCCCATCCCCGCTGTCCCTGCTGTCCCCGCAGGGCCTGGCCCGGGTCAGGACCGCTCACCGAGCCCCATCCCCGCTGTCCCCGCTGTCCCCACAGGGCCTGGCCCGGGTCAGGACCGCTCACCGAGCCCCGTCCCCGCTGTCCCCGCTGTCCCCGCAGGGCCTGGCCCGGGTCAGGCCCGCTCACCGAGCCCCATCCCCGCTGTCCCCGCTGTCCCTGCAGGGCCTGGCCCGGGTCAGGACCATTCACTGAGCCCCATCCCCGCTGTCCCCGCTGTCCCCACAGGGCCTGGCCCGGGTCAGGCCCGCTCACCGAGCCCCATCCCCGCTGTCCCCACAGGGCCTGGCCCGGGTCAGGCCTGCTCACCGAGCCCCATCCCCGCTGTCCCCGCTGTCCCTGCAGGGCCTGGCCTGGGTCAGGACCGCTCACCGAGCCCCATCCCCGCTGTCCCCGCTGTCCCCGCTGTCCCCGCAGGGCCTGGCCCGGGTCAGGACCGCCAGCGATGCCGTGGGGGTGGTGCTGAGGGAGCTGAAGCAGCAGAGCCCCCGCGGCTCCTTCCGCCTGCTCGTGGCCGTGGACGGGGTCAACGCGCTCTGGGGCCGCACCACGCTCAGGAAGGAGGACAAGAGCCCTGTGAGGATGAGTTTGGGGTCTCTCTCCTGTCTCCCTCCTTCCCTGCTGCTTGGGGACAGGAGCTGGGTTGGGGTTTTGTTCGGCTTCAGGTCATTGGTGACCCCTGGGAGATGCTCCTGGCCCTGGGAGGGACCTGCCAGGCTGTGTTTTTAGGGAAGGAGGGACCCCCCCCAAAAAGGGGGAGAGCTGGTGGGTGTTGTCAGAGCCAACCAAAGGCCTGGGGGTTTCCCCTGTGGGGTCAGAGCTGTGGGGCCAAGGGGAAAAAAACCCGCCTGAAGGACACAGATGACCCTCCCAGGCCAACTGGAGGGAGGGGAGGGGGATTCCTGTGTCAGGCAGAAGCTGCTGGCAAAAAAAAAACCAAACCAAACCAAAAAAACCCCAAAGCTGAGGCATCAAACCTTCCCCAGGTTTCTCCAGAGGAGCTGACCCTTGTGCACAACCTGAGGAAGATGGTGATGAACGACTGGGTGAGTTCCAGGGCATGTCACTCTCAGCAATTAAAGCCACCCCCAAAGGTCCTGCAGCCCCCTTGGTGTCCCCACCAGTGCTGGGGTCTCACCAGTGCTTCTGGCAGCACCCAGAGAGAAGGAGAACACCTCAAATCCACAGCACTTCCCGATTCCTGTGACAGATCCCAGTGCAGGACCCCGAGCTGGAGGTGTCTGATGACATTTAGGACATTTGGGGTTATGGTTTTTTTAACTGATTGGAAGTTTCTCTGAAGGTCACCTCCTCCTCCTGCTCTTTCAGTCCCCTGGGTGCTCAGAGCTCCAACGGTTGGGCTTCAGATTTAAAGGCCCTTTTGAAAGCATTTTCTCTTGTTTTTGCATAGAAAAACATCTGCAGGTAAGAAATGTTCACGTGGCAGCCCTGGGAGCACAAGCTGTTCATTCCCTGTGCTCCCATGGGCCTGGAGCAGCAGAGTTAACGTGGTCTGGAGCATTATTAGTCCACTTTAATGGAATTTTGGAACTGATGTAAGATCAGAGAATCCCAGAATCCCAGACTGGTTTGGGCTGGAAGGGACCTTAAAGCTCATCCAGTGCCACCCCTCTGCCATGGGCAGGGACACCTTCCACCAGCTCAAGTTGCTCCAAGCCCTGTCCAACCTGGCCTTGGACACTTCCAGGGATCCAGGAGCAGCCACAGCTTCTCTGCCCAGCCTGTGCCAGGGCCTGCCCACCCTCCCAGACAGCAATTCCTTCCCAACATCCCCCTTAGTCAGTGAGAAGCCATTCCCTGTGTCCTGTCCCTCCATCCCTTGTCCCAAATCCAGCTCTCCTGGAGCCCCTTTAGGCCCTGCAAGAGGCTCTCAGGTCTCCCTGGAGCTTTCCCTTCTCCAGGTGAACCCCCCCAGAGCAGGGGGGCTCCCTCATGAACCTCCATGGCCCGCTCTGGACTTGCTCCAGCGGCTCCACCTCCCGAGAAGGTGGTGCCTGGTGGGTTGATTGTGAACCCAGTGCCGTGTTTGCAGCTCTCAGGGTTTGTTCCTCGCCTGCCTTTCAGAGTGGAGGTGCCGTTGTGACCACCCTCAGCCAGACCGGCTCGCTCTTCAAACCCAGCTCTGCTTACCTGCCCCAGGAGCTGCTGGGCAAGGTGAGCCAGGGGGGGCCTCCTTCGGCCTTGTTTTTACTTTATCTTTTCTTTATCTTTCACCTGGGGGAACGAAACTCCTGGTTGGGAGTCCCAGGTTCTGTTCAGGGGGACAAAACGTGTGGAGGGGCAGCTCCGACCTCTGCTCTGTGTGAGCAGGGACAGCACCCAGGGAAGGGCTGGAGCTGTGTCAGGGCAGGGTCAGCTTGGATCTCAGGAAAATCCTTCCCCCAGAGGGTGGTTGGGCACTGAACAGGCTCCCCAGGGCAGTGGGCACGGCCCCAAGGCTGCCAGAGCTCCAGGAGGGTTTGGACAATGCCCTGAGGGACAGGGGGGGATTGTTGGGATGTCCTGGACTGGATGATCCCTGTGGTTCCCTTCCCTCAGGGTGTTCCATGACTGAGCTCTGGGAAAGGTTCACATCGACTACAAACAACTGCTGGATGTGTTTCCTTCTCTCTCCTCCATCTTTCAGCTGAACTTGTAAAAATAAATATTCTGGAAGTGGCACAGAGTCAGGAGAAAGCTTGAAGTGCTCAACAGCCCTCTTTGTTCGAAAGTGGATTTTCACAAATGGGAAAAAAACCATCCCTTTATTTCTCCTAGTGAATGAATTGTGTTAAACCAGAACAAGGAGGAGAACTCCTGATGGGTGTTATCAAGCAACTCAGATCCAGCTGCAGAAGTGACTGCAAGGCTGCTCCTCCCCTGTGTTTACAGAACCAGTGTCACAGCTGCCCTGCAGGATTGTAGCAACCCCTTTTTTCCCTTATTTCTTATTATATTTCAAAGAGAAACATTAAATTAAGGCCTGTTTTCCCACTCCTCAGCAAAGCTGCAGAACAAGAGGCTGCAGCAAAGTTCCTCCTCAAAGCTTCACCTTTGCACTGGGTTAACAACTTGCCCCGTGGAGAGGCAGAATCGCCCCCCTCTTTATAAAACACTGCATTTTTTTACAGGCTGTGTGGGTTTTTTTGCTGTTACTCACCCAGCTTTCCCCCCTTCTAGGAGGGCTTTGACGCCCTGGACCCCTTCGTGCCCATCCTGGTGCCCAACTACAGCCCCCGGGAGTTCGAGAGCTGCTACGGGTACTACCTGGAGCGCAAGTGGCTGCAGCACGAGAAAGGTCGGTGCCCCCCGGGGCTCTGCCCGCATCTTTCTCAATCTCCCTCTCAATCTCCCTCTCTCTCTCTCTCTCTCCCAGCTCGCACGGAGGACGGGAAGGCGGAGCTGCAGTTCCTGAGCGGCTCCAACCCTCGGCAGCTGGACCGGCTGGCGGGGCCCCTGTAGGGCAGGAAAGGAAATCCGGGCTGTTCGACCCTCTCCTTGCCCCCCCAAAACCCGCCCATCCCCTCCTGCTCCGCGGGTCAAATCTCCCCTCCCGTTGGTTACCGCAAAAATTTGATATTAAACAAGAGGATTTTACATCTTCCGTGTCCTGTGGCACCGAATTGGAGCGTCTGACCCCCTGACTGAAATATTTGTTACCACGTTGAGTGTACAGAGAGGCCTTCCAGGCAAACCAAGGGCGGGGGGAATGAAGCCCACACGTGGAATGAATAAATCAGCCTGCCCAGGCGTTCTGGGGGAGGCGTTTTTGCCGATCCCCGAAAGTTTACCCCGAAAGGAGCAGCTGCGATTTTCATTTCCTCAGCGGGTTGTTGTTTCCAGCTTTGTTCCCAGCCCCGGGAGCGCGCAGGGAATGGCACGGGGAGTTCCGAATCACCGGTGGTTGTTGGCAGCCAGGGGGGCACATCGGGCGGTTGTTCTCCCTCCCGGTGTCCCTTCCCAGGAATTCCTATTAACCGATGGTTGTTCGCAGCCAGGGGGGCACATCAGGCGGTTTTTTCCCCTCCCGGTGTCCCCTCCCAGGGAATTCCGAATCACCGATGATTGTTCGCAGTCGGGCGGTTGTTTCTCCTGCCGGTGTCCCCTCGCAGGGATGTCCCGGGGGAATTCCGAATCACCGATGGTTGCTCGCAGCCAGGGGGCACATCTGGCTGTTGTTTCCCCGCCGGTGTCCCCTCTCAGGGAATTCCGAATCACCGATGGTTGTTGGCAGCCAGGGGGGCACATCTGGCTGTTGTTTCCCCGCCGGGTGTCCCCTCTCAAGAATTCCGAATCACCGATGGTTGCCGGCAGACAGGGGGGCACATCTGGCGGTTGTTTCCCCTCCCGGTGTCCCCTCCCAAGAATTCCGAATCACCGATGGTTGCCGGCAGCCAGGGGGGCACATCTGGCTGCCGTTTCCCCTCCCGGTGTCCCCTCCCAAGAATTCCGAATCACCGATGGTTGTCCGCAGCTAGGGGGGCACATCTGGCTGCCGTTTCCCCTCCCGGTGTCCCCTCCAAAGAATTCCGATTAACCGATGGTTGTTCGCAGCCAGGGGCAACTGGCTGTTGGTCCCTGACCGGGGTCACCTCTCGAGCAGAATTGAATCCCCGATGGTGCTCCCCGCAGACAGGGGGTTCACGTACATCTGCCGCCGGCTTCCTCCCGCGCCCCGCCAGGGGTCCCAATCTGCCCATGTCGTCCGCGCCAGCAGCACGATCGTCGCCAGTTCTCCTCCCGTCCTCCAAAGAACTCCAGATCACCGATGGTTGCCGCGGCAGACAGGGGGCACATCTGGCTGCCGTTTTCCCTCCAGTGTCCCCTCCAAAGATTCCGAATCACCGATGGTTGTCCGCAGCTAAGGGGGCACATCTGGCTGCCGCTTCCCCTCGGTGTCCTCCAAGAATTCCGAATCACCGATGGTTGTTCGCAGCCAGAGGGCACATCGGCCGTTTCCCCTCCGTGTCCCTCAAAGGTGAATCACCGATGGTGTCTCGCAGCCAGAGGCTGTCGGGCGGTTGTTTCCCCTCGGTGTCCCTCCCAAAATTCCCGATTAACCGATGGTTGTTCGCAGCCAGGGGGGCACATCGGGCAGTTGTTTCCCCACCTGTGTCCCCTCCCAAGAATTCCGAATCACCGATGGTTGTTGGTAGCCAGGGGGGCACATCGGGCGGTTGTTTCCCCTCCCGGTGTCCCCTCCCAAGAATTCCGAATCACCGATGGTTGTTCGCAGTTGGTTGCTCGCAGCCAGGGGGCACATCTGCTGCCGTTTCCTGCCGTGTCCCCTCCAGGAATTCCGAATCGCCGATGGTTGTTCGCAGCCAGGGCACATCGGGCTGTCCCCCGGGGTCCCCCCAAGAATTCCGAATCGCCGATGGTTGCCGGCAGCCAGGGGGGCACATCTGGCTGCCGTTTCCCCTCCCGGTGTCCCCTCCCAAGAATTCCGAATCACCGATGGTTGCCGGCGGCCAGGGGCGCATCTGGCTGCCGCTCCCCCGGTGTCCCCTCCAAGAATTCCGAATCACCGACGGTTGCCGCAGCTAGGGGCACATCTGGCTGCGCTTCCCGGTGTCCCCTCCCAAGAATTCCGAATCACCGATGGTTGTCCGCAGCTAGGGGGCACATCTGGCTGCCGTTTCCCCTCCCGGTGTCCCCTCCCAAGAATTCCGATTAACCGATGGTTGCCGGCAGCCAGGGGGGCACATCTGGCTGCCGTTTCCCCTCCCGGTGTCCCCTCCCCGTCCGGGGCGGTGCTGGGTGACGCTCCCGGTGCGCGCCGTCGCTCGGCCGGTGGCGATGCCGGGGGAGGCGGTGACGCTGCAGCTCGGGCACTACTCGGGCTGTGTGGGCGCGCACTGGTGGGGGCTGCAGGTACCGGGAGGGGTCCCACAGGGGGGTGGGCTCTCCGGGTCTTTCCCTGACCCGTTCCCCCCGGTTTTTCCCCCCTTAGGCCGCCTCGCTGCGCGGCCCCGCCGAGCCCGCCGAGCTCTGCGCGGCCGCGCTGCTCCGGCCCGGGCGGGGGCCCGGCGGCACCGAGACCCCCTCGCCGCGGCTGGTGGCGCTGGAGCTGAAAGGTACCGGGGGTGGGCGGGGGTCTGGCAGCCCCTCCGTGCCCCGGGCATCATCACCGTGCCCGGGCATCACCACCGTGCCCGGGCATCATCACCGTGCCCGGGCATCACCACCGTGCCCGGGCATCACCACCGTGCCCGGGCATCACCACCGTGCCCCGGGCATCATCACCGTGCCCGGGCATCACCACCGTGCCCGGGCATCATCACTGTGCTCGGGGCATCACCACCGTGCCCGCGTTCTCTTCTTGCAGGCGGCGTGGGCGCTCTGAGACCCGGCGGGGCGAGCGCGGAGGCTCCGGTGCCCTGGTGAGTGCGGGGCGGGGGTGATGATGCTGGGCTGATGATGCGGGGCTGATGATGCTGGGCTGATGATGCGGAGCCACCGGAGCTGCCGCCGCTTTGTGCTGCAGGGACGGGGCCGTGGCCGATTACCGGGACGCGCCGCGGGACAGCGGGAACCGCACGGTGAGAGCGGGTCCCGCATCGCTCCCTGCCCCGCGGAGGGACGAGGGCCATCGTCCCGTAACCGCCCGTGCCGGGGTTTTTATTCCCGCAGGGAGACGCTGCCCGTGACGGGAAGGGGGGTCCCGGCGCTGCCGTGCCAGGTGGGTGCCCGGGGGGGTGAGTTTGGGGTCCCAGAGGGTCCCCTGTGCCAGGGGGCTGCTGTGGGACGATGTGACAGTGACAGGGAGAAGGGAAGCAGTGGGATGAGACGGCTGTGCCTGCACACAGATGGGTCAGGGCGCAGCAACAAAAACTCCACAAAACCCGATTTCTCTCTCAAGGAGAGAGAAAGAGCTCAGAGCTGAAAGGGCCTTTGCTCTTCCCCTCAGGAGCAGCTCCCTCAGGGTCGCAGGACCCCCCCTCGGTGAGGCTCTGGTCCGATTACCTCAGCGTGCCCCTGCACCCCAGGAGCCTCCACGTGATCCGGCAGTACCTGCACGATGGGTACGGAGCAGGAGCCCAGCTGTGCCTTCCAGGAGGAGTTCAGAGGGCTCGGAATAAGCTCTTTTCCCTCCCACACACACACTTTATTTCCCCACAGGGACTGTGGGTGTCTGGAAGCCTTTGCACAAGGGGAAAGCCTCCTGCAGGATCCCGCCTGCCTCGAGGAGCTGGAGGATCGGCTGCACTTCTTCGTGGAGGAGTGTGATTACCTGCAGGTTCACAGCCCAGGCCTCCCTGTGCCTTCCAGAAGCCTCTTGCCCGAGGTGAGGTGGTGTCTGAGGTGCTGCCCCTCGTTCCCACACAGGGGTTCCAAGTGCTCTGCGACCTCCACAGCGGCTTCTCCGGGGTGGGTGCCAAGGTGACAGAGCTGCTGCACGACGAGTACTCGGGGAAGGGGATCCTGTCCTGGGGCCTCACTCCAGCCACCAGTGACCTGGCAGTGAGTAAACAACAAACAGCACCGGGGAGAAGCAAGCCCAGCTGCTGCTGCCATGCCCAGCCCGGGGCTCGTCTGCACCTTTGGGATTCCAAAGGTTGGATTGGTTTTTTGTTTTTCTCCCCCCAGGATCCTCAGAGCAGTTTCTACAGGCTGCTGAACACCGCCCTTGGCATCGTCCACCTCTCCCAGCACAGCTCTCTCTTCTGCCCTCTGTCCCTCAGCGGGAGTTTGGGGATCAGGCCACAGCCTCCTGTTACATTCCCATACATAAAATACGATGTAAGTCCCGCTCTTGCAGCTCCACCCTCCCCAGAGTGTTTCCTGCAGCCCTGTGGTTTCAGTGGTGCCTTTTCAAGATGCTGTTGATGCTCAGCAGAGACTCTTTTCCTGCCTTTTCACTGGGACTTGGCTTCCAGCTTTTCATTTCCATAGCTTTTGAAAACATTACCGTGCTTCCTTGGCTTGCTGTGCTTTGTCAGGGTGCTGGCACTGAAAAAAAGGCTTTACTGCATCATTCTCCATGCCTGGAGTAACTCCAGGAGTCACTGGAGCCCCAAGAAGCTGCTGACAAGAAAACTGGCACCAGAGTAGGTGCTAGGAAAGAGCTGACCTGGAATTGCTGCTAAAACACTGGCTGCTTTTCCCAAACCTGGAATAATTCTTACACACTGGCTGCTTATCCCAAACCTGGAATAATTCTTACACACTGGCTGCTTATCCCAAACCTGGAACAACTGCTACACTAACTCCTTATCCCAAACCTGGAACAACTGCTACACTAACTCCTTATCCCAAACCTGGAACAACTGTTCCACACTGACTCCTTATCCCGACCCCGAAATAACCATTAAACACCTTTTTAAGGGCACAATTAATTTAAATACACAGAACTGGGTTAAGGTACTGGTGACTGTGACCTGTCCTGTGACTGTCCCTCCTTTTTTCTGCTCCCCAGGCATCCCTGAACTACCACAGCAGTGCGATTTTGGCAGCTGCCCTCGACACCCTCACGGTTCCCTACCGGCTCTGGTCCTCGCAGGGCTCCATGGTGCACTTTGCTGACTCCCTCACCTTCTCTGGGAGGAAGGTGAGGACACCAAGAAGAGCCACCCCGTGCTCCCTCCAGCTCTGCAGAGGGCAGGGAACGCTGCTCTGCACTCGCAGGGGGGTGTTCCAGGCTGTTTGTCACCCCTGCTCCAGGTGGTGGCTGCGTGGGCGTCTCTCCCCTTCCCCGCCTCTCCCGGCTCCTCGCTCCCAGATATTCTGAGTGCCCACCGGCAGGACGTGCCCTGGAAGCTCCTCCTGTCCTCCTGGAGGGAGCAAAAGGTCAGCTGCTGTTTTGCTCAGTCTGTTGTGCTCCGAGGAGTTGGCAGAGAAAGGCCCAGCAGGTAAATCGGCGTCTGAACCGCGCTCGTGCCCTGGCAGCTCCGGCTCTCCCGGCCGTGATTCCTGCCAGGAGTCACCCCCAAACCCCCTCCCTCTGGGAGAGGAGCAGTCCAGTGACTGAGGCAGTTTGATTTTAGAGCAAAGCAGCTCCAAAGCAGCTGAGTCAGGCTGGGGGTTTGCAGCCTGGAAAGCCCCGATTTGGTTTCCTTCGCAGCAGCTCCCCGGGACGGCAGCCCCGGATGCCCCTGCAGGGCTGGGAGAGCCCCCAGGAGATGCTCCAGCACTACCTCCACTCCCACTTCCCGGGCTCCTTCAGGTGGGTGCAGGTTGCTTTACACCAGGGAGCAGTTTTGAGGGAGTTCTGGTGTAACTTTATTCACCTCTTCCCACAGCACAGCCCACGTGCTCCAGCAGCCCTGCAGCACCACACCCCCCTTCCCCCAGTTCTTCTCCCCTCTCCTGACCAGACAAGGCTTCCTCCAGGACAAAGCTCTGGGTCACTCCTCGGCAGGGCCTGACAGAGGTAAAAAAACCCCACTAAAACAACAACAAACCAACCCCCCCCTGCTCTGGGGGGTTTGCAGGGCACGAGTTACGAGCTCTTTACGCCGATGCGACGCCTGGTGAGGTAGAACGGGGCCAGGCCCCGGATTGTGATGGAAATTCAACGCCAGCTGTCGGTCTGATTCCACAGGTGTGCAGAGCATCCCCGTGCTGGCAGCCCTGCAGGCCTCCCCTGTCCTGCACGAGCTGCTCTCGGGGCTGTGGCGGGACCTGCGGGCGCGGAACGTGCGGCGCTGGAGCAGCTTCTTCACGGCCGGGGTGGAACAGGACGACTTCCAGCAGGCCCTGGAGGAGCTGAAGACTCTGGCCCAGTGCTACGAAACGGGGTTTGGAGGGGATGGCTCCGAGGATGAGGCGGATTCGGACTGACCCACCTTTATTCCCGGGGATGGAGGGAGTTGGGAGCGTCTTTAAGATCACTTTTGGAATAAAGGGAATGGCTTTGGAGACGCTCCAGCTGCTGCTTCCTTCTCATTTTTCACCAAAACCCTCTTACAGAGGCTGGCTTAAATTCTCCACAGCTGTGAAAAAAGCTGCTTTTGGGGGGCTGTTTCTGTTTTGTTTGTGTTTTTTTTTATAACTGTGCCAAGTGGATTTGCTCTGCCCCATCCAAATGAACCCCCCCAATAAATACAGAGCTCAGACTGGAACTTCCTCACATACAATCGACAACAAGGCAGGGGGAAGAACTTAAAAAAAAAGTCCCGTGTTCTTTCCACGTGAAAACTTGACTTCTTAGGGTACAATATTTACATCTTCTGGTCCGAAGCTGCTGGGCCCAACCTTTTTCCCCCCTCCCCGAGGGGGTTTCTCTGCTGTTTCTCTGCTGAAGCTCCCCAGGGAGGTTCTGGAGGACACTTTGCTTGGTGCCTCCGGTTTGGGACGGGCTGGGTGTTGCAGCTCCTCAGAAGTGGAGCAGGAAAAGCGAACAGAACCCGGGCAAAGGCGCCGCCGTCTCAACACCTGTGCAAACATCTTTTTTTTTTTTTCCCCACAGCACCTGTCTAGCAGCAAACTGGCAAAACAAAACGAGAAACCTCTCCCGGGGGGCAGTCAGTGTGTTTTGAACAGCTCAGTCATCAGGTTCTTCCTCGGAGAGCAGGAGGTCTTTGTCCGACAGCTGGTCCGTGTTGCTGGTGCTCGTGGCGTCCTCCTCGTCCTCGGAGCTGCCGTCACAGGACGTGTGGAAGAGCCTCATCAGCTCCCTGAACCTGTGGGACACCTGAGGAAACGAGGGGAACCCCACGTCAGCAGAGGCCTGAAACTGGAACCTCCTGTTTACAAAACACCCTGAGCTTTGTTATGTTAAAAAAAAAAAATTATATAAATACCACGAAGGCACTTGGTACAAGGAAGAGGGAAATGCAAGAGCAGCAGGTGGTTGTTCTCTCTGGAAGAACAGTTACATTCTACTGATTTGCAGGTAAAATCTGGCAGTTTGGGAAGAAGATTCAGAGACAAAACCAGGCAGATTGTTTGTGGAGGAGGAGGAGGCTGAAGAGCTGAGCAGCAGCCACTGAACCAACCCTGGCACCAAATGCGAGGCTCAAATATCTCAGGATTCCTGGCCCCAGGGTTTGTCTTGGTTTTGATTTCCTTGCAGCTGGGATGGTTTTTCATCAAATTTAAAAGTTTGGGAGGCTTCATGTGAACAGCAAAACCCCCAGCTTTCCTTCCCCTGGAGCCCCTTCCCCATTCCCTGGGAGCTCTCCCACCCCACGAGCCCTCACCTCGCTCGCCGTCTTGTTGCCCAGTTTCTGGGAGATGGCATGGAAGGTGTCCAGGTGGGCTCCTTTCTCCTGGCAGGTAGTGAGGATGACTCTGTCAGCCTCCCTGCAAAACAAGCAGCTGTGAAAACAGCCCAAAAACCAGCGATGGAATTCGAGTTCCATCCCCCAACCCACACACGAAGCCTCTTCCCTGGGCGAGGGATCCCCTCACCCCTCCTGCCACCTCCCCCCACAGCACCCATCTCTAAGCAGAGCTGCCTTTTAAAGTTTTTTTCGTGCTTTCAGCTGTTTTAAGGGTTTTTTCTGAAGGAGGAAAAAGGTTCTTTCCCAGGCTGAAGTGCTCCAGCAACAGGGGAGGAGCGAGCTCTGATGGTCAGAGGAAAGGAGGCAGGAACATTGAACCAGAGGGGGCAGAAAACGGGGATACAACAGGGAAATAAAAGAACCCTCTGCAATGTGAGAGCTGGGGCTGAAGAGTGAAGGCTGGAAAGGCAGGAAGGGCAGAAGTACCTGGTCCAGAGCACCACCTTCTCCCCGGTGGAGCTGACCTTGCTGTTCTTGGCACACACGGTGGCCTCCGTGACCTTCTGCTGCTGCTGCTGCTCCTCCTCCCTGTGCCCCAGGCAGGCTGGGCCCACCCTGGGCTGCTCAGGGTGCTGGTGCCCCTGCAAGCAGCTGTTTGCCTTCGTCCTGCCCTCAGGGGGGCCATCAGCAGTGCAGGCTGTGCCTTCTGCCCCCGAGCCACGGCCACCCCGGCCCACGGGGGCTTTGCCACCCGCGGGCACCCAGCCCTGCCTGGCTCCAGCCTTGCCCTCCAAAGGTGGCCCCTCAAGTCCTTCCCCTCCTGCTCCTGAGGCAGGGCCAGGCCCCCTGAGCCTCTCTGCTGGGTCAGGAGGAGGAGTCCCCTCGCTCTGTGCGTGGCAGGACCGAGGTCCCGGTGTCCCTTTTGGGGAAGGCACCAGCAGGTCCCTGCTCAGCCCCAGGGAAACTTCATCCCCGTTCCCTCCAGGCTGCTGGTCCAGTCCCTCTCTCCCCGCAGTGTCTTTGGTTTCCTGAGGTAGTTTTGGAGCAGTTTTTGGCAGCTGGGCCCATCTGGGGCCGGTGGAGGCAGAGTCTGTGTCCCGGGCAGTGCCCACAGCGGCACCTCCTGCCGCCTGAGCGTCGGGAGGGGCAGCTTTGTCACCACACCCCTGCCTGCTGGAGGCAGCTTTTCCTTCCAGGGGAGATCCTGAGAAGAAACCCAAGCAAAGGTGTCAGCAAGAAAAAAAAAAAACAAACTCCTGGAGGTTTTTAGCCCCTTTGGCTTTTAAAGAGATTTTTTTTTTTAATTTATTTTTATTTTAGGAGCCTAAAGCTGCAAATGGGAACAGCCTGGGGAGCAGCTTTGCTACTCCACCTGTGCTGCAAAGAAAACAATCTCCAGTCAAATTTTCTTCACCACAACTGTGGGAAGTGCTGGAGGCACAAAAAAAAACCTCGGGTGAACCGCCCAGAGCGAAACCCTGCAGGGAAATAAAAAAAACCAAAAACCACTGGTGCTCTTGGCACCCTGGTTACAAACCCAGCCCCTGAGGCTGCACCACATTTAAACCAACATTTAAACCTGGCTTTCACTTTGTGCTGCCTCTCAACAGCACCACAAACTCGGGTCTGGCACCCAAAGGAGGGAAAGATCTCCCTCAAAGATGTTTATGCTTAGATATTTATCCAATAATTGTGGTAGCCCGGCAAGGGGAGCTGAACTGGACCAACCCTTGGGAAAATATTCCCCAGGCAGGGGGAAGGTTTTATTGCAGGGAATGTTCAGCAGGAGGAACACAGGAGTGAAAAAAAAAAATGATAAAAATGGAACAGGATTATCAGAAATTCTCATTATTGCCCACTGGAGAGTCCTGGAGCTCAGCTCACCCCTGTGAGGGGAGGATTTTGGCCTGGCAGTGCCAAAAGATCCTTCACCCACCTGCAGACACGGAGTCCACTTTCCTGGGAGCGGGTTTGGCTTTGCCCTGGGCGTCCTCCCCCTCGTCCCTGCTCTCCAGGAGCTCCTCTGCAGGTTCCCTGGGCACCCCAGGATCCTTCCCTTCTGGCTGAGGGCTCGACTCCTGCTGGGCCAGGCTGGCACTCAGCTCCTGAGGGTCCGTCCTTTTGTAGAACTTGCTGTCACACACCTGCAAAGCGACCCCAGGGGGCACAGTCACACACCTGGGATGGGCACCCCGACCCACCCCACAGCTCTGCCTTTGCCTCCCAAGCAGCCCTGGCCCTGCCAAAGGCTTCACTTTGGCTCTGTGGTTGTTATTATTATTATTATTATTATTATTTTATTATTATGAACAGGCACAGGTTCCACACCAGCACCTTCCACTCAAAAAGCTCGTTCGTGAACCCGAAAACAACACCAAAAATGACATCATTTAGCACAGCAAGGAGGGAAGTGAGGAGCAGAGAGGAGGCAGGAGAAGGCTGGGCAGAGCTCCAGGGAGGCAGACACTGCTGGACACCTCGGGATTGACTCCCTTCCTCATCCCACATCATGTGGGGGACACGAGGGCCATCACTGACCTTGCTGCTGCAGTGGCTGCAGCTCCTCCTTTTGCTCTTCTTGAGCTTGAGGTCACTGCTCCCTTCGTGGCAGGCACAGGGACACTCCTTCATCCCCTCCACCCACTCCACCTCCTGGAACAGACACGGCCCCAGCTGCAGACACACGGACACGGGGGGCACAGGGGGGCTAAAGGGGTGGGTGATGATGCAGGGCAAGCAGAGCACAGCAGGAGCACTCCAACCCCTCCCAACCCATCCCCCGTGGCCATCCAGCAGCTCAGAGCCCCCCCCCAGCCCCCACCTTGTCGTTGTGTTGGCCCCCAATCTCCTTCCTCTTCTTGCTCCTGGCAGCCCCGTGGATCTTGGGGGGCTCGTCCTCCTCCTCTACATCTGGCAGAGACACCTCCTCAAAGCCATCAAACTGCAACAGAACAGAGCACACAGCGTTGCTCCCCAGCTCTGTCCTCCCCCAGGGACAGAAATCCTGGCCAGAGAGGTTTGGAAGGGTTTCCTTTTCAGGTCCACCCCCAGGGACAGAAATCCTGGCCAGAGAGGTTTGGAAGGGTTTCCTTTTCAGGTCCACCCCCAGGGACAGAAATCCTGGCCAGAGAGATTTGGAAGGGTTTCCTTTTCAGGTCCACCCCCAGGGACAGAAATCCTGGCCAGAGAGGTTTGGAAGGGTTTCCTTTTCAGGTCCACCCCCTCCTCTCCCTGGTTGAAGTTCTGCCACTCCCACCACCTGCTTTTTTCAATCCCTCCTGGCCTGGGGAAAGGGGCTGGTGCACCTCGTATTCCTTCTCTTCTGTCCAGTTGATCTCCTCGAAGTCCCCCATCCTGCTGGCCGAGGGCCTCAGGTGGTCGAAGAAGACGGAGAACTCGTCCTGCAGGTGGTCGTGCCCCTTCAGCAGCTGCCACATCTGGGTCTTCAGCTGCAGGAGGGAAACCCACGGGGAATGAATCTCCTTCCACGTCCTCACATGGCCCTCTGAAGGGTTCCCCAGGCAGGTGGAGCATCAAAGGCTTGTTAAGCCCCCCTCAAGGTGGATGTCTGTTCTGAGCTCATTCCACGCCCAGCCATCAAATCAGCCTGGAATTAACCCCTCCAGAATTCCAGGCAGATTCCAGAGGGGGCACCAAGCTGAAAACCTCACCTGCAAGGTGCCAAGGGGGAGGTGGGAGAGAGGAGACAGGCAGGGCATCAGCTGGGGGCCCCTTGAAGAGGCAGCTCCAGTTCTCCCTCAATCCAAGGCCAGGTTGGATTGGGCCAGTGGAAGTTGTCCCTTCCCAGGGCAGGGGGTGGAAGAGGAGCAGCTCTGAGGTCCCTCCCAACCCAACCCAACCCAACCCACCCAACCCAACCCAACCCAACCCAACCCAACCCAACCCTTCCTGTGGTTCTATGGATTGAGCTGTGCCCCAAAACTCCTGCCCAGGAGCAGCACAGGGGGACAGGGGGTCAGGCTGGAATCACCCTGGGGGTTTGGGGGGAAAAAGGGACACCTGGTCACCTCTGCAATCTCCTGGGGCAGACAATCAGCACAGCTCTGCAGGACTTTGATGATCTTCTGGTGGTGGGCAGGGTTCTCAGCGAAGCAGATCTCCAGCTGCCTGAGGAACTTGCGGCTCTTCTCGAAGGCCTGCTGCTCCTCAAACTGCCCAAAACCAAACCCAGGCACCCCTCAGGCCCAAAAACACGCTCCCAAACCCCTCAGGTTGGCTTAAACAAGCCTTAAAATTCCCGTCCTGGTCTTTGTTTTCCCCCTGCATTGGTGCTCTCCTGGCAAATCTGGGGGGACGCGGAGGAGAGACCACGAGCTTTGTGTAAATCAAAATTACACCAGCCAGGAAGCTCTGCTTCAACCACCTGCTCCCAAAACAGGGGCTGGACACTCTCAGAGAGAATGCAAGAGGTGAAACCCTCTGGTTTTTTAAGTGCAGGGCTGACCTGCAGGCCAAGGAAACCACGGTTTGCTTCATCTGCACAAGTTGTGATGGAACTGGGAAAAGTCCCCCCAGTCACCCCCAGCAGGAGATTTCCAACCAAAAACACCCCAGTTCTGATGAAGAAACCAACAAGTGATTTCCCAGCCCCCTTGCCCTAGGGAGAACTCCTCATCCTCCCACTCCCACAGCCACTCAGGATGTTTAAAATCCCGCCTCCCCCTTCCCTCCCACCTTACCAGCCCACACTCCAGGGCCTGCTCTGGCAGGAGGAAGGCAGCAAAATCTGTGAGCAGCTGGGGCCAGTCGTGCAGCAGCTTCTGGAGGGTGGAATAGAGGTCCACAGCTGTCCTCTTGCCCGTGCTGATCTCAAACTCGTAGATGACCCGAAGGAAGTCTTCGTATTTCCCTGGAATGTGCTGCAGCGTTTCACGGACCTGGCAAGGGGCCAACAGGACTCAGTGACAGCCAGGAAGGAAACAAAATCATGGAATACCTTGTGTTGGTCTTTAAAGATCGAGTAATTCCTCTCTGCCACGGGCAGGGACACCTCCCACCAGCCCAGGTTGCTCCAGCCCAGCCTTGGACACTCCCAGGGATGAAGGGGCAGCTTCTCTGGGCAGCCTGGGCCAGGGGTTTCTTCCTGAATTCCTGTGACCTGGTAACCTTTCATCTCCCCCCACCCAGAATTTACAGGGTGCTCCCAGTTTTGTTGAGCCCAGCTCTTCCTCCAAGAGCCCCCTGAGCCGCTCCCAGGAGAAGAGAACCCACCATGGAGCTTGGAGTCTCAGAGGGGTCTTGGTGCTGTGGAGCCACCTGAGCACCCCCAGCCCTCCAAATCCTCCACTCCCACCTCCCCCCTCCAAAAAAAAGCAAGAAAACTCACAGGTCATGACAGGGGCGGTTTGGGAAGCGAAGGGGCCACTCAAGGGGTGTGTGAAGAGAAGCAACCCCCACGCCAGCGCTCCCACAGCCACACCTGGCAGGCTCAGATCTGTGCCAGGGGCACTCCGAGCGTCCCTCACCCTGGTCAGGTAGGCCTGGGCAAAGGCCAGGTCCTTCTGCTCCCTCAGGGGGTCCCTCTCCAGGATGTCCTCGTCGTAGAGCAGCAGCAGCTTGGAGGTGTCTTTGCTGCCACGAGCCCGGCCCCGCTTGTTCCTGGTCCTGTGGGAGCTCCTGCCCTTCCCAGGGGCCTTCAGGTTCTCTCCTGGGGAGGAGCACGGGGTGAGTTGGTGGCAATATCCCAACAGAAAGGCAGGTTTCAGGCTCAGGGACGAGTTCTTGTCTCTCCCCTGGGAGTGCAGGAGCAACACAATTCCCAGGTTGGCCAAAAAAAAAAAAATAAAAATCTTACAACTGGCTGTTTGCTTTCACAGCATCTGACAGGAAAAACCTCTGGATAAAAACCCACGAGCTGTTCCTCGGCTCCAACCTGCTCAAAACCCAGCAGGTTCCTGCACTCCAGGGCAGGACAATCAGAGGCACAACGAGAGCATCGGAGCTGGTGCTCGCTCTGCAAACTTTGAGGTCATTATTTACGCAGCAGAGCTAAAATCACAGATGACAATCACACAGCCAGGAAGGAAATGGGGGCACTCAGAGGGTGCCACATCAAGATTTTCGTGCATTTACCCTCAGGAATCTGCTGGTTTAATGGGTTGAGGTTCAGCTCCTCCAAGCTCATCTCCCACTTTGCTGGACCCTGTGAAGGTTTTGGTGAGGGAGGCAGGAGGGGGTGAAGCAGAAGGGAACAAGACTGGGAAATCTCTCCTGTGCACCAGTGAACAAATGCTGTAGTTCAGTGTGTGTTGTATTTGCAGTCAGCTGAGCTATGAGCTGTTGATCACTGTTGTTTTGAACTCAAGTGCCATTCTCATCCAGTGCAGTATTATGACATTTCTGTGTGATACCCAATTTCCCTGTAGGAGTCCCATGGATTTTCCTGTTCCTGTTTGAAAGCCTTATTGACTTCCTGTGTAATTTTAGATGGGCATCTTTCTCATGCAAATTCCAACATTTTCCATAAAGTTATTTGGGAGGTTTGGGCTTTCTTTTACAAGTTGGAAATAGTAACAAAAAAAAATTCCCCACTTTGCTGTCTGTAAGATTCTAGTAACTGGAGGGAAAATTTTATGTTTGTGGATTTTCAGTGTTAAAATATTTTTCCTCTAAAGAACCACAAATAAAAGTTGCAACGAAGATGAGTTTTCATTTTCCTCGGTCACACTTTTATCATTACGTAAGCAATCCTATCTTCATTTTCAAAAATACCTCATTTAGAATCATGGAATCTGAAATTATGCAAGACATCATTAATTGAGAGACTTAAAGCATCGCCCTGGCTCGTGTCTCCCAGCGTTTTACGACACTTTGTTTTGTTTCATTTCTTTTTCTCCCCCACTCCCCACCACACAGAATTCGGCTCAGCAAAGATTTGGCTGCTCAATATTGCTCTGACAGCTGAGACAAACCACAAACCTGCAGATTTCTGAGGCACAAAAACCACTTTAGAACAGACCTAAGGCCCCTGGGCCAGGAGACTTCTGTGGGCCCTGCTTGGACAGGACTGTGATGAGACACAAATTGCAATTCCAGGAAAACCCCAGCCCTCACCTGCTGGAATCCTGTGGGTCTCCACCTGGGGGGAAGCTGCCTTGGCCAAGGTGAAGGCAGATTTGGGCTCCTCTGATGCATCCCCGCAGGTTTCATCGTCTTTCTGTGAACTCTCTATGCCTTCCCCTTCCTCCTCCTCCTCTTCCTCGGGCTCAGAGTTCTCCTCCTGGGAATTCTCCTCTTCAGAATCTCCCTCCTGGCTCAAACGTCTCTCTGTTGCAAGCCAAGTGAGTTTTTCCATGGTCTCCTTAGAAAAGCAAAAAGAGCATCACAGTTGTTTTATTTTCTGGTTTAATGTCCTTCAGCAGCCCCCTCCCTGCCTCATGATTCCAACAGCCAATTTCACAGCCCCAAAATTCCATAAAGGAACAGAATTCGAGACCCTCCAGAGCTGCCTGTTTAGGTTTTTTTGTTGGGTTTTTTTTTGTTGGTTTTTTTTTTTGTTGGTTTTTTTTTAAATTGGGAAAAATTAAATTTCAGGATCTGCCACTCAGCAGATCAGGCCTTGAGTTAAGAGATGGGATTCCTTAAGGATCATCTTGGCTCTTCAAGGCCTGCTGGAAAATTAATTGTCACTTGAAGCTGTTCCTGCTAAAGAGTCCTTGCAACTCCTTGTAGAGTTTAAAGAAACAGCCTTTTTATACACCTGAAGGAGCGAGTTTCAAAATTATCTACCACATACACTCTTTACAAAAAGTCTGCCTTATCTAAATAGACATTTGGTTACATAAGGTTTTATCACTTCAAACAGATTAGGATTCCCCCACCCCTCTTCTGTCTCCCTTGCAATGCTGGAAGTCCTTCCTGCCTTCTCTGACAGACCCTTTTGTTTAAGTAAATTAGCTTTATCTTAATCACCCACAGTTTGGGCAGCAAACTGCTTCTTTCAAGCAGTCATGACTTTGCAAAGTTACACTTAACATAGATAAATTTTACTAACATAACTAAATTTTTATTCTATTTTATCTCGTCTTTATTTCAGGTTCCCACCAGCAAATCTTTTTCTTTGGAGCTTTGATTTTTTGGTGGTTTTTTTTTGGTTTTTTTGGTTTTTTTTTTTTACCTGGAGCTCCGGCACCGACAGGACCGACTCCTCCGAGGCCGACGACATCTCCTCGTCCTCATCCTGGGTGAAATCATCGAAGTCGTCCTCCTCCTCCTCCTCCTGCCCTTCCCTGTCCCCCGCGGCCTCGGGGCCCGCCGGGGTGCCCACGGACTGCCCATCGACACTGGACGAGTCCTCGGGCCTGCCCGGGGGGCTGCTGAACTCGGGCTCGCCCTCGGCCGGGCACGGGGGGTCCCGGGGGGATTCACCGCTCCCCGGGGGCCCGGAGACCACCACGTCCCCCTGGGGAGGGGACTGCAGGGCCCGCCCTTCCTCCTCGCCCTTCTCCTCCTCCTCCTCCTCGCCCGCGGCGCGGTCCCCCTTGGGGTCCACGGCCTCCACGTTCAGCTCCTGGCCCAGCCCCAGCAGGAACTCCTCCTTGGGCTGGGTGGGTGGCACCTCCCTCCTCTGCCCGGCCTTGCCCTCCCCGTCGGGCTCCTCAGGGTGGGTTTTGGCCGCCTCGTCCCCGCGAGGCTCCGCGGAGCTCCCGTCCCCATCGCCCGCCTCGTCCCGGCGAGGGGAAGGCTCCGGGCCCCGCTGCTCCTCCTTCTCCTCCTCCTCCTGCTGCTGCTGCTCCTCGGGGCACAGGGACGAGCAGGGAACCAAGAGCTCGGGGGGCTCCACCTTGGGTTCCCCCGTGGGGAACCCGCCCCGGGGCAGCCGCTCCTCGGCCTCGCCCCCCGCGGGCGGCGCCGAGAGGCCCACGGGGCTCGGCGACACCAGCAGGGACGGGATGGACGAGGTCACCAGGGGCTGGCTCAGGGGACACGGGAACGGGGCCGGGTTCACCAGCAGGGTGGTGAGCGGGATGGCCTGAGGGCCGCGGCCCACGGCGGCGCCGAGGGGCTGGATGACGTTGCCGATGTTGACCACCTTCACCGTGGCGGCGGGGACGGTCAGGATGACCGGGGACGGCTGGATCAGGGCCGAGGGTTCCATCAGCGGGGCGGTTTTGCTCCCTTTCTTCCTCTGGCAGCCCTTGCGGACGCAAGGCCTGCGGGATTTCGGCCCGGCCAGCGCCGGCAGCATCAGCTTGGGCTGGAAGGCGGCCGGGTCTGGGGACACCAGAGCCGGTGGCACGGCGGTCGAGAAGGTCGGTCTGGAGTCTGGGGGCGCAGCGGGGAGCACCTTCTGGAATTCCAAGCCGTCCCCGCCTCCCAGCACCGCCGGCACGCCGAGGGGCTGCACCGCCGGCACCGCCGGCATCACCGGCACCGGCCGAGGGACCTGGAGCACGACTTTGCTGGGAGGAGCCTCGCCTGGGGACACTTGCCAGGCTTCTGGGGGTTGGAATCGCTGGAGCTGGAGCTGGGCTGCACGCCGGGGTTGGGGCGGATCAGCACGGGCTTCAGCGCCGAGGATCTCTGTCTCCTCCACGCCCGCCGGGAGAACCGGTTGGCCAAGGGCTTCAGGGTCAGGACGAGCCCCTTGGGCATGAGCAGAGGGTATTTGTCATCGTGCTCCGCGTCTGGAGCTTCTTTTGCTGCCCCCAGAAAGGCAGACTCTGCAGCTGGTGAAGCTGGCATCTCCTTGGCATCTCCTGCCAGCTGCTTCAGTTCCTCCTGGATGGAGGGCAAGCTTGCCTGAGGGAGCAAGAATTCATCAGGGTTTGCTACTTATGGGCTGTTCCCACCTTCCCACGGCACCACAGAAGGGGACAGAGAGCAACTTCCTCCCACAGGTGGCTTTTTGTTCACTTTCTGCTGTTCTGTATTGCTTAATATTAGTTTAAATTCATGATCTCTGAGATCCATGAGGAAAAACCCACGAGGAAATCAAGGAAAACCAAGAAAACCAAGGAAAACCAAGGAAACCCAAGGAAAACCCACAAGAAACCCAAGGAAAACCCACAAGAAACCCAAGGAAAACCCACAAGAAACCCAAGGAAAACCCACAAGAAACCCAAGGAAACCCAAGGAAACCCAAGGAAAACCCACAAGAAACCCAAGGAAACCCAAGGAAAACCAAGGAAACCCAAGGAAAACCAAGGAAAACCCATAAGAAACCCAAGGAAAACCAAGGAAAACCAAGGAAAACCCATAGGAAAACACAAAGGAAACTCAGGAAACCCAAGGAAACCCAGGGAAAACCCACAAGAAATCCAAGGAAAACCCATGAAAAACCCAAGGAAAACCCAAAAGAAATCCAAGGAAACCCAAGAAAATTCAAGGAAAACCCACAAGAAAACCAGGGAAAACCCACAAGAAACCCAAGGGAACCCAAGGAAACCCAAGGAAAACCCACAAGGATCCCAAGGAAAACCCACAAGGAAAAGCAGGGAAAACCCAAGGAAAAGCAGGGAAAATCAAGGAAACCCAAGGAAAACCCACAAGAAACCCAAAGAAACCCAAGGAAACCCAAGGAAACCCAAGGAAAACCAAGGAAACCCAAGGAAAACCCACAAGGAACCCAAGGAAAACCCACAAGGAACCCAAGGAAAACCCACAAGGAAACCCAAGGAAAACCCACAAGGAAACCCAAGGAAAACCCACAAGGAAACCCAAGGAAAACCCACAAGGAAACCCAAGGAAAACCCACGAGAAACCCAAGGAAAACCCACAAGGAACCCAAGGAAAACCCACAAGAAACCCAAGGAAACCCAAGGAAAACCAAGGAAATCCAAGGAAATCCAAGGAAAACCCATAGGAAAACCCATAGGAAAACCCATAGGAAAACCCATAGGAAAACCCATAGGAAACCCAAGAGAACCCAAGAGAACCCAAGAGAACCCAAGGAAACCCAAGGAAAACCAAGGAAACCCAAGGAAAACCAAGGAAAACCAAGGAAACCCAAGGAAACCCAAGGAAAACCAAGGGAACCCAAGGAAACCCAAGGAAAACCAAGGAAAACCAAGGAAACCCAAGGAAAACCCACAAGAAACCCAAGGAAAACCCAAAAGAAATCCAAGGAAACCCCAGAAAATTTAAGGAAAACCCACAAGAAACCCAAGGAAACCCAAGGAAAACCCACAAGAAAACGAAGGAAACCCAAGGAAAACCCCCAAGAAACCCAAGAAAAAACTAAGGAAATCCAAGGAAATCCAAGGAAAACCCAGGAAAACCCCCCAGACACCAACCAAGCAACGGCACAGAACCCAAAGGGAATAAAGAAGCACCTTGAGCCAGAAGGGCAGCCGATGCTCCTCCCTCTCCACGGGCGCTTTCCACTCGTGGGGCTGGATTTCCTCGCAGCACTTCACCAGCACAGGCAGCTGCTTCGTCTTCTTGTAGTACTGTGAGGAGAGATGGGAGAGAATTCCAGGAATCCCGCTGGAATCGGGGTTTCATTTCCGACATTTCCGCGGGTAGAGCCTTGTTAAGGCAGCGATGAGAGCGACTTCACTGCACAATCCTCCCCCTCCCATCCCACCCTGGACTTTTGCTACTCAAAAGGTTGTATTTATGATTTATTTATTTCTTTTTTTAAACCAGGATTACTGAAGGAAACTGGTTGTACCAGGGCTGTGTTGGGCTCTGAAGAGCCAAGACAAAGCATTTTTAAAGCCCAGGGGATGAAATCTTGTGGAATAAACCCTCATTTTTAACAAGGGGGTGACAATTTATCAGCCAAAAAAAAAAAAAACAAAAAAAGAACCCTGGGATAAGCAGCACAGCCCTCCTGGTGTAAGAAAGCCAGGCTGGCAGTGCCCCCCTTACCCTGACGATGTTGTCGGGGGCTCGGTTCATGTTGAGGTTCTTGATCCTCACCGTGAGCTGGTGGGCGGTTTTGGTGGGCAGGAGGTACTTGCTGATCAGGGGCTTGGGAAACTCCGTGCCCTCGAAGTGCTTCAGCCCCAGAGCCAACAAACTGGGCAGGGGGGAAGGAAAAGGGAGGTGGGGAGGGAGGTAAAGAAGCCTTCCAGCCCCCCCAGAAATGCTCCTTCCACCACCTACTTGTCCTCTGCCTTGGTGAAGACGATCTTGTCCCGGGGAGGGTTTGCCCTCAGGGAGCAGATTGGCAGCAGCTCTGGGTACATGAAGACTCTCCTCGTCGCAAAAATCCAGGCCAGTTGCTTTGGCAGACAGGAAAATTCACTGGCTGGGGGAGGGGAAGGGAAAGAATTAACAGGTAATGGATGTGAAGAAACGTTTCTTGAAAACACTATTTATTTTACTCCCTTTCACTGCAAAAAGAGATTCCTGTTTTGTTTTTTTTTTCCAGTTTTTCCTTCTAAGTTCACACCACCAAAAGGTAAAATTCCTTCTCCTTCCCATCTTTTCTTTTGCTTTATGTAATGAGAAAGCTCTTGGGAGTATTTCAAGTGATTCCCCTCTCTAAAGCAGCAGCAAAATCCCAAACCAAGTGTTTGGAAACAGTCTGGAAGCTTTTTTTTTTTAATCCCCAAGGAAAGGAGTTATCTCCCTGCTGTGTGCTGACCAACACATTTGGAACAATTAATTCCAGTTTCACTGTCCCCCTGATGGGCTTTTGCAGCTCAAGAACATCATTTGAGGGACAATAAATGGCTGGATTATGATGTTAAATAAAACTCAACAGGTTGTTTAACGTGCTTTACTCTCTGGCAAGATCAGGAAGCAAAAAAAAAAAAAGGAGCCAAGGGGGTGGTTTTATCTAAAAATATCTAAAAAAAATAAAAAATTTAATTAATTTAATTAATTAATTCTTAGGTGGGACCCCCCTCAAGGTCAGGCTGGGAAGTTCCCTCCACACGTGGAATGATCTCCCTGTAAACCCTCCCTTCCCCTCCCGTACCATTGTTCTTCTTGACAGCTTTCCTGGGGCTGCAGTCCACGGGCACCCGGGCATGGAAGTCCTCCAGGAGCCTGAGGGCTCCCTGCAGGTTGCAGGGCTGGAACATGGTCTGGAATTTGGGATGGAGCGGCAGGCGGAGCAGGGTGGAGCTGCGGGCGAAGTTCCCCAGCTCGTTCTGCAGGGCCAGACACACAGAGAGGGTCACAGCAGTGCCCCCCACACGGGGAAAGCAGGGAAAAAGTGCCAAAAATAAAACAAAAACAGCATTAAAAGCCTTATTTTGAGGCAGGAACAGAGGATTCACTGCAGGGGAGGTGAGCACCTGGCACGGGTTGTTCCCTGCTGTCCCCACCCCTGGAGGTGACCAAGTGGTTGGAACTGGATGGTCCTTAAAGCCCCTCCCAACCCAAACCATTCTGAGGGGTTTTTTATTTTTCTGCAACCCCCTCATTCCCTGGAACCTTTCCGAGGCCTCTCTCAGTTTAATTAAATTAATTAAATAAACCAATCTCCCTAAATCTCTCTACAGGGATCGTTCCAGGGAGCTATCAGAACTCCTGCAGCTCTGATTTCAGGCCCATCCTCACCAGGAACATCCTGGTTGTGCCGGCCTCGGAGCTCAGGGCGGGGTTGCAACTCGCCAGGAGATGGATTTGGGTCAGAAGCTGAACGTGCTGGAAGGATAAAAGAAATAAAAAATCAAAATCACACAAAGTGTTATTGTTGGTTTTTTTTTTTTTCAGTGTCTCAAAATACCAAAACATTTAAAAAAGCACCCCGAAAAAATCCCTGTCTGCCTTTTAAACACCAGAAAACTCGAGGGGGAAGTTTAACACCCCCACTGGCTGGAAGTTCACCACCCAGATTTTGAATGCACAGAATACACAGAATTAATTACCTGTGTGATCTCAGGGCACTTCCCCAGCTCTTGTGCCAAAATCTCACAACCAAAACAACCCACACAGAGAGCTTTTGGTTGGTTTTTTGTGGTTTTTTTTTTTTCCCCTAAATAAATACATAACCATTTCTTCAGCAACTCGAGCCCTTGAGAACTGCCCATTCCTGAATTTCTACACAGAAAGTGTAGAAATTCCAGAAAGCTCCAGGGATTTTTTTTTTGTAGTGGGGGGAAAAAAAAAAAGAATCTAAATTAGATCAAGAATAATATTCCCAGACAGTAAAAAAGAAGGTGATGAAAGCAGAGGATTTGGACAGATCAGGCTCAGGATTCAGAGATGCCCAGAAGGAAGCCCTAATTCCCACCCTCATCCCAACTGTCTTGGAATCAAGGCTGTGAATGCCCCTAACAACACCCAGGTGCAGCTTTTCCAAGGAATTCCCCTTGGGAAGCAAAGCCTCGGCTTCCAGAGCCCCCCCAGCCCAGATTTCTCATCACACCCCACACTTCCTCACCTGCTGCATCTGCTGCTGCAGCCTCTTCCTCTGGGCCCCGTCCAGCACGAGGCTCTGCAGGGGCTTCTCGCTTGGGGCTTTGGATTTTTCAGCCTCCTGGGGGGGTTTGATGGAGGATTTTTTCATCCTCAGCTGCTCCAGCTGCTCCTTCACCGTCCGGTGCTGCTCGTTCAGCAGATTGGCCAGAGGTTCCTCAAACCTGGTTGCCACCAGGCAGAGCAAAATGGGAATATTCAGGATTTAAAAAAAAAAAAACACTCCCCAGTGATCCAGGGTGTTTTGCTGTGTCTGGGAGGAGCAGTTCAGGTATCACCTGTGCTCCTCAGGTACCCCCCAACTTGAAAAATACCCAATTATTTACACCTAAGTCTTCTGCCCCACCCGCTGCTGGAGCTGTGGGAGGCACTCCAGGTATTTTGGGTGGCATTTTGTCATCTGGAGGGGCTCCAGAAAGGCCTCAGACTGTGCAAAACTGTTATTTATTAAAAAAAATTAACAAATAAATTACTGCCCAGCTTTATGCAGAGGACTCTTCTACAAGAAGCAGCAGAAATGGGGATGTATTTGCCACCAGCCTTTCAAAAACAGTCTCAACCATCCCCTGGCTTTATTTATGACTTCATTTTTATTTATTTCATTTCAGCCACCCCAGTTAATATCCTGATTTCTGCTGATTATCAGCTTCCCACCTGTAACAGGCCTGAAGTCACCTGTGAGTCAAATTGTTCCACTAATGCAGGGTGTCATAAAAAAACAACAAACCCAGCAAAAAAAGATGTTTTATGGGACATCTGAAAATCCTCCACACAAACAAAACCAGGCAGGGAAAAATGAATAAAACTCCCCATTATCACAGCCAAATGAATAAAAAAATAATAAAAGAGAGGGAACAAAGCTTCCTGGCCTCGCAGCCTGTAGCTGGTTTTGCAGTTGCTGAGCTCCCCTCTGGCACTGCTCATCCCAGGGGGAGGATCCAGAAACTCCAGCCTTCATTTTAGCTCCTTTCCCAAACAGGAACAGCTGCACCTCGAGCTGCTCTGCCCCATAAACAAGGAGACATCACCCCCTCCTGCAGCAGAGCCTGGGTAAATCCAGAATTATCCCCAGAAGGAAATCCTGGAATGGTTTGGGGGGGAAGGAATTGGGAGCTCATCTCACTCCCACCAAGCCCTGTCCAACACTCCAGCACTTCCAGGGATGGAGCTGCCTCAGGCCCTCTCCTCTTCAAGGTTATAACCCAAAAAAAATCATCAAAAGCCGATTCCCAAACTTTAGAGCCGCTTCATTCCACGTTCCAGGCCTCGTTTTCCTCAGAAAAGCCCAACATTGCATCCAAGTTATTCCCTCAAACTGAAGGTGACCCATTTGGTCAAACCCTCAAGGTGTTTTTCTTGCCATCCCAAACCCAGCAGGGCAGTAAGAGAACTTCACCCTCCCCTGCAAGAAGAGGAAGGTTTAGTTTGGATGTTCCAAAGAAACCCTTCCCTGTCAGGGTGGGGAGGTTGCCCAGGGAATTATGGATTCCCCACCCCTGGAAGTGTCCAAGGCCAGGTTGGAGCAACCTGGGCTAGTGGAAGGTGGAATTATAGTTGATCTTTTGAGGTTCCCCCCAACCCAAACCTTTCTGTGACTCTGCATTTAGCACAGAGGTGAGAAAACATCTCCCTTCTGAAAGGCCTTGGCTGCTTCCCCCGAGAGGCAGCACCAATCTTGGAGTGCAGACACTTCTGAACGTCTCCCTCTCTCTGAGGGGACACCTTTCCACCACTGTCACCTTCTCCAGGTGCACCACAAGCAGCAAAGTTAAACAGCACAAGCAGCAAAGTTAAGCAGCACAAGCAGCAAAGTTAAACAGCACAAGCAGCAAAGTTAAACAGCACAAGCAGCAAAGTTAAGCAGCACAAGCAGCAAAGTTAAACGTGGCACCCAGAAATAAAAAAACAAGCAAACAGGGTGGAGCATCCAATCTGTGTCCAATCCCACAAACAATCAAAACACCTGCCCAGGCAGCTCCTCCCTTCGTGGGGGCTGCCACAGCAGGGCCTTCCACCCCAAACAAAGGCTCCCAACCCACCTGAGAGCCTGGGGGGTGTTGAAGTTGGGCCGGGGCTCCGCGACGACGTCCTCGTCCTCGGGGCCTTCGTCCTCCACGTGGGAGAAACCCATCTCGTCCTGGAACTGGGGGGGACAGGGAGCAGCACTCAGGGGGAGGGCAGCCCAGGGACAACATTCACACTGTCTGTGGTCAACAGAGCTCAGGGGGGACCTCTCAGCACCTCTGCAGGGGCTTCAGGGAGTTCCTACAAAATCCCCAGCCCGGAGTGACCCCGTGGTGGCCTCGGCACAGCCCGCCCCTTCTGAGAGCTCCTTCCCTCCCCCCAGCACTTACTGTCTCAAACAGCTCCTCCATCAGCTCGTTCACCTCCTTCTCTGCGAGTGAAAATGGAAAAGAAGGGTGAATATTCTGACTCTGGAAATCCTGTTGTGATATTAAGTCGTTTAAAGGAACTTCTCTCGCAGAGAGGGAAACCCTCCTCTTGCAGAGAAAATCGACCCCTGATAATTCCCTTTTTAATGCTGGGTCAAAAATAACTTTACTGAGATTTTGTGTTGTGTTTTTGAGTCAAAACAAGCTCATTTTCACAGTTAAACTCAAAGTTATCTTAAGCTGTAGCAACACCCCAAGCAAAGGCGGTTTGCTGCAAAGATGGAAAAGTGGTATCTTCATAAAATAAGTTGAAGACTGAGAGGGGAAATTTAATTACACTCAAGAACAAGGCAAACACTCAGGTGTGAACTGGCTGAGGCTTTCAGGTTTGTTATCCCCACCTAAATATTGCTGGGCAGGCTTTGCCACGGGGGGTGAAGCTCCCACCAGGCCAAAGGGTGGCCAAAAGCCAGAGCAGATTTTAATCACCCTGCCCTGCAGGGTGTAAGATCCTTGCAAGATCCAAAGGGATTCCCCAAAAAAACTCACTGGTGATCCTCACAGCACGGTCGTTCCTGAAATCCTCCGGTGTCCGGCTCGTCCAGATCCTCCAGGAAGTTGTACTCGGGGTCATCATCATCATCAGCTTCATCTGAGGGGAAAAACATTCAGAGAGGTCACTGCCAGGCAGGGAGGAGCACTTTGCTCACTGGCAGGGCTGGGATTGCTGCTGGCAATTGTTTCTTTGGGGGAAGCCAAAAAGAAAATCCTAACCCTGCTCCTTCCAAAGTGAGCTCCCAGCACCCCAAACCTGCAGCCCCTTCCCGTTTCACAGAGCCAGTTTTATTCCCTGGGACCTGAGTTTTGCCTAAATTCCATCTAATACAGTTATATCATCTCAGTTTGTGGTTTATATTCCACTTGCACGTGTGAAAATCCGCTGTAGGCAGCTGTAGAGCAATCAGCAAACACAGGGGGAACAGGAGGCCAAGCCCCAAAGATTGTTCTTGTTCATTCTCAAAGAGCAAAAAAGCTCTTTCTACCCAAACAAACCCCTCTCAAGGAGCAGGACACGCTCAGATTCAGGTGGAGGGACCTTAAAAACCACCCAGTTCCACCCCACTTCCACCACCCCAGGTTGCTCCAAGCCCCATCCAACCTGGCCTTGGACACTCCCAGGGACGAGAGAGCTTCTCTGGGCAAGCTGTGCCAGGGTCTGCCCACCCTCACAGGCAGGAATTTCCTCCCAGTATCCCACCTAACCCTGCCCTCTGGCAGATTGAAGCCCTTCCCCCTCGTCCTGGCCTCCAATCCCTCATCAGCAGCCGCTCTCCACCTTTCCTGGAGGCTCCTTCAGGTCCTGGAAGGCCTCAATTGGGTCACCCCGGGGGCTGAACAATCCCAATTTTCCCAGCCTTTCCTCCCAGCAGAGCTGCTCCATCCCTGATCACCTTGGTGCCTCCTCTGGCCTTGGCTCAAGAAGTTTGGGTCACATCCAACCTCTCCCCTAAACCTTCCTCTTTCTGCTCATCCCCAACTTGGATCAACCCCAGGGGTCACCTCAACCCCATCCCTCAGCTTATTAAACCCCTCCAACCCCAAACCCAGCATCCAAACCCCCCCAACCCCAAACCCAGCATCCAAATCCCCCCAAACCCAGCATCCAAACACCCCAAACCCAGCATCCAAACCCCCAACCCCAAACCCCATCAAACCCACCCCAAACTCACCAAACCCCCCAACCCCAACCCCACCATCCAACCCCCCATCACATCTGCCACGTCACCTTCGTTCTCCACATCGTCGTTCATGAGCCCCCCCAGCCACCTCTTCCACTCCTCGTCGTCGGCCGTGTTGGGGTCGTACATGTCGGGGGTGATGTCGGGCGCGCGCAGCTCGGCCTCCAGCTGCCCCAGGGGCACGTCCTTCAGGGGCCTCTTGGAGCGGGTCCTGAAGGCAATCAGGCTGTCCTCCAGGGGCTGGGGACAAGGACACTGCACTCACCACAGCCCTGCTTTCCCGAGAGCCTGGAAATGAACCCGCCCCGCTCCCGCCACGCGGAATTTCGGCGGCCGAGAGGGCCGAGCTCCCACCAACCGCTCTCCCTCTTCATCAGCTCATTTAATCAGCTCACACTAAACCCTCACCAGCAATTTCCACTTTCAGGGTTTGATTTTCACTTGTGTTTATGGTTTTTTTTTTTCCTGTTTTGCTGCGGTTTTTTGCCCTCCCCGCTGCCCGAGGTTAACGTGGAGCAGCAGCACAGGGGTTGTCATCTCAGCCCAGCCCTGCACAGAGCAGAAACGCTCTTTCCATCATTTACATGAGGCAGGGCTTCTCTTACAACCACTTTCCTCAGCTGATGAATAGGGGATGGTAAAAGGGGTGAGAGTAAATAGGGGGGGATGGTAAATAAGGGGGCATGGTAAATAAGGGGGAGGAAAATAAGGGGAGGGAAAATAAGGGGGGATGGAAAATAAGGGGGGATGGAAAATAAGGGGGGATGGTAAATAAGGGGGGATGCTAAATAAGGGGGGATGGAAAATAATAATTGGACAACCAATTTCCTCAGCTCCAGTTTGGAACTCGGCTCAGTTCCACAGTAAACTGGGACAACCAATTTCCTCAGCTGGGAAATAAGTTGATAGGAAATAGTTGATAGGAAATAAATAATAGTTGATAGGAAATAAATAATAGTTGATAGGAAATAAATTATAGTTGATAGGAAATAAATTATAGTTGATAGGAAATAAATGATAGTTGATAGGAAATAATAGTTGATAGGAAATAATAGTTGATAGGAAATAAATTATAGTTGATAGGAAATGATAGTTGATAGGAAATAAATGATAGTTGATAGGAAAAAAAATAATAGTTGATAGGAAATGATAGTTGATAGGAAATAAATGATAGTTGATAGGAAATGATAGTTGATAGGAAATGACAGTTGATAGGAAATGACAGTTGATAGGAAATAAATAATAGTTGATAGGAAATGATAGTTGATAGGAAATAAATAACAGTTGATAGGAAATAAATAACAGTTGATAGGAAATAAATTACAGTTGATAGGAAATAAATAATAGTTGATAGGAAATGAATAATAGTTGATAGGAAATAAATAACAGTTGATAGGAAATAAATAATAGTTGAAATAAAGGCAGTGAGAGACTCGTGAGCATAAATACAAAGTGGGGTTAGAAGAAACTAAGAGTCTGTGTCACTGACAACATTCCTTCATTAGATATTTTATATATATATATAAAATTATATATATATATACTACAGATACTTCTGTTCTCTCACAGAGCCCATGTCCTACACACTGTGGAGATTCAATTCCATAGAATCCCAGCCCCATGGAATGGTTTGGGACTTAAAGGGACCTTAAAGGGACCTCAAAGATCATCCTGTTCCAACAGAGGACACCTTCCTCCCGAGCAGCTCGCTCAGAACTCCACTTCTTATTTAAATTTACAGGAGCAGAGCAGAATGCACTGAAAGAGGGGCAGAAAACACCCAGAAATTCACCTGAATTCCAACAGATTTTGGCCCAGTTAAACCCCCCCACTGCACCTGGAAGGAGTCCATGCACACGGGGCTCGAGGCCAGCTCCTCATCCACGGCGTGGAGCTTCTCCATGAACGAGCTGTCCTTGCTCTGCTTGGGTTTGGGGGGTGGGGGAGGCCCCATGGGGACGACCTCGGCGCTGATGTGCCTCACCACGGGTGAGGTGACCTTCTCCACCTGATCAGAGAAGGCCTTCGTGTTAAAAAGCTTTTATTTAGGGAGCAGATTTCAGTTTGTGGGGTTTTAAATCAGTTTGTGGGGTTTTTTCTGGAAATGGATCCTTCCTGTTACACACTCATTTTGATTTTCAGAAGGCACAGAGATACACAAACACTTGCAGGAAAGGAGATTTTTGGGAGGTTTGAGTATCGGTCTCAACATTTCTAGAGCTGATAAACCAGTTATTGTGGCAGAATAATCCAAACCCATGGTGAGTAAATGGGGAAATATCAATATAATATTGCTCTTCCTGACTGCAGGGTCAGTTCTCAGGCACTTTCTTGTCCTTCTCTGCTGATCCTTGGTCCTTATCACTCTGCACCTACCTGACAGTGCACAGAGTCACCCCAAACACCTTTATTTTTCTATAAAACCCACTTTCCCCTCTTCAGCCAAGCCCAGACAGCAACTCCCCTGCACTCCTCTCAAAAACAACCAGAAAAAACCAAACCATTATCCAAGACAAAGGTCTTGGAATGGAATCAGCTGAGTGCCCATTTCAGAGCTCTGCCCTTCGCCAGTTTAGGGGACCCTAAACCCCCCCCCAGAACCTGGAATAGGCCCGGATTTGGGGCTAATAAATCAGGAATAACGACTGGGAGTCGATTCTGAGGAAGGAAGGAGTCCTCCCCTGGGGTTCACCTCACAGGCAGTGCCCCCCTCCTCGTCCGACGAGCGCCGTGTCCGGGATCTCTTGGCCCCGCGGGGAGAGGACGCCGTGCTCTCCACGTCGCTCTCCAGCAAGCTCTGCAGGGCAGGACAGGCACAGTGGCCTCCAACCCTGCTTCAGCCAGCACTTCAAAGGCTCTTTTTTTAGCCAAATTAATTAACAGGCCGACCAGACACGAGCAGGAGGTGACAATGAAGAGGGTTCTCTCCTGCCCCCAGATCTTGGCACAGGCTGCACTCACCTCTTCTGCAGTCTCATCCTCATCCTCATCCTCAGGCTGGTATTCCTCATCAGATGAATCATCCTCCTCCAGGGGAATGTCCACAAACTGAGGTGGCTGCAGCACAGGAGAAGGGAGTGATTGATTTATTTATTTGAGGCACAAAAATCACACCAGGAAGACTCCGTGCCCTGCCTTCAAACAGGGAAACGTGCAGAAGAAGCAGCAACAACAACCAGAGCCTGGGCAAAGTCCTTCAGTTTGCTCAAATATTTTTACAGGCAGAGGTAGAAATCAGTGGGGAAAAAATTAAAAAATAAAATCAAAGTAACAACCCCCAGTGTGGGGGTGGGGGGGATTTGTCATGTTTTGGTTAACAGGAATTTTTGGTGTCCCAGGGCGGGAAACTTTTGAACAGGTAGAGTCTGCAGAGCAAAGATTTCTAACTGAGGAAACACCCTGAAGGTCAGAAAGGAGCTGCTCCAGCCCTCCAGAAGCCCCCTGGCTGGGCAGGTGTGGCCTCCACCCCCTCCCCCAGCAGCAGCAGCTCACTCACCTTCGCCTCGTTCGCCTTCTTGATGGGGGAAATATTCCACGTTGGGATCACCTGGGGAGAGCAGAAACCCTGGAGCTGTTCCAGAGCTGCTTTCACAGCTCAAGGGGACTCTTAAAAATCACAGGAGCAGCTGGGCCAAGCAAGGCCAGAGCTCAACCAAAGGCTTCAAAACCCCTCCTGGGATGTCCACCCTCTGGGGGAAGAATTTTTCCAACATTCCCCTGCTGCTCCCTCAGGCCCTGCTCCTGCTTCCCACCCAGGCAGGGGGAAGGTGCCACAGGAAAAGCAGATTTCAGACTCACCACCCCCTTCTCCACAACCTCCTTCAGTTTGGAACGAGTCATTTTGGGCTCCTGAGGGGGTTTCAAACAAAGACCAGACCTCTTTACTGTGAAACTTTCCTCTTCCTTTAAACCCACTCCCTTTAAATTCACCTTTAAATCCACCCCCTTTAAATCCACCCCTTTTAAATTCACCCCCTTTAAAACCACTCCCTTTAAATTCACCCCCCTTTAAATCCACCACCTTTATATTCACCCTCTTTAAATCCACCCCTTTTAAATTCACCCCCTTTAAATCCACCCCTCCCTTAAAATCCACCCCTTTTAAATCCAACCCCTTTAAATTCACCCCCTTTAAATCCACCCCCTTTATATTCACCCCCTTTAAATCCCTCCCCTTTATATTCACCCCCTTTAAATCCAACGCCCTTAAAATCCACCCCTTTTAAATCCACCCCCCTTAAAATCCACCCCTTTTAAATCCACCCCCTTTTAAATCCACTCCCTTTAAATCCACCCCCTTTAAATCCACTCCCTTTAAATCCACCCCCTTTAAATTTACCCCTTTTAAATCCACCCCCTTTAAATTTACCCCTTTTAAATCCACCCCCTTTAAATTTACCCCCTTTAAATCCACCCCCTTTAAATCCACCCCCTTTAAATCCACCCCCTTTAAATCCATCCCCCTTTAAATCCACCCCCTTTAAATCCACCCCCCTTAAAATCCACCACTTTTAAATCCAACCCTCTTAAAATCCACTCCGTTTAAATCCACCCCCCTTAAAATCCACCCCCTTTAAATTCACCCCCTTTAAATTTACCCCTTTTAAATTTACCCCTTTTAAATTTACCCCTTTTAAATTCAGCCCCTTTTAAATCCACTCCCTTAAAATCCACCCCCTTTAAATTCACCCCCTTTAAATCCACTCCCTTTCAATCCACCCCCTTTAAATTCACCTTTAAATCCACCCCTTTTAAATTCACCCCTTTAAATCCACCCCCCTTAAAATCCACCCCCCTTAAAATCCACCCCTTTTAAATCCAACCCCTTTAAATTCACCCCTTTGAAATCCACCCTTTTAAATCCACCCTTTATATTCACCCCTTTAAATCCACCCTTCAAATCCACCCCTTTAAATCCACCCCTTTTAAATCCACCCCCTTTATATTCACCCCTTTAAATCCACCCCCTTTAAATCCACCCCTTCAAATTCACTCCCTTTAAATCCACCCCTTTACACTTACCCTTTAAATCCACCCCTTTAAATTCACCCTTTTAAATCCACCCCTTTCAATCCACCCCCTTTCAATCCACCTCCTTAAAATCCACCCCCTTAAAATCCACCCTTTTAAATCCAACCCTTTAAATTCACCCCTTTAAATCCACCCCTTTAAATCCACTCCCTTTATATTCACCCCC